AATATAGAAATAAGATTATTTAAAAATTTTTAAAATTAGAGCAGTTTATAGTAAAAGAATGGATTGAAATTTCAAGTAAAGTTTTAAATAATTCTATGAATTCTATGAAAGAGAAATGTGAAATGATAATTAAAAAAGAAAGTAAAAAAATTAATTATTAATTTTATATTAATAAAATTTCTATATTTTCAACTTCATTTTGATATATTTTTATGTAACAATTTTGAAATAAAAAATTTCAAAAAAAAGTTTTGTTACACACTGTATATATTTGTCATTTCGTTAGAAGAGGTGTTTAAGTATAAGGAAGACAATGAATGACATTTCAAGTGACAATTAGCTAACGCAACCACCAATCACATGCTACAATGCCAGCATTTTTTGTCTCATAAAAAAAAAAAAAAAATGAGTAATCAAAATTTCGTTGTCATTGACTGACGTATGTGTACGTATATAGTATATATAGTACATGTATGCTAATAAATTAATTGCGCGGATTTGGCTACATCTTTACGCTTATGATAAATGGTCAATCGATTAATTACACGGATTTTGGGTTCAAACCACTTGATCCAAGGTTTCACCAGATGACGCGAGTACCCGCATAAACCCATTGCCAATCACGTTTATTTGGTAGACAATAAGAGGGCAAACATGATGTTTAATAACTTGAAACTCACATTTTAAATCATTCATGCTGCTTGGGGGACTTACGCTTCACGTTCTCATGCTCATTTTTCCCTTTTTCTGGTATTGAATATTTACACCCATTAATCTAACACATTCATTGTTAATAATTCTTTTGGTCGTTGATTTGTCTGATTGCATCGGCGCATAAAATGATCCTGCCCACCCCGGTAATCGATCTAATAATGTTAAATGCATTCGATAATGGAATGAAAAAGTTGTAAGAAACAATTTCAAAGACAATTACAAAGGGAAGCAAAACATCCAGGAAATTTTTCCCGCAAAAATAATATCTCACGTGTTGCGAACCTGAAAATCGCGTGAATAATGCAAACTTTAATGCAGGTTCAATTTAGATTTACAGGGATCACACAAAGAATAGTTTTGTTAGTATTTTTTTTATTGCAAATATTTGTTGCTCGGTTAGTTGTGCTCGTCGTGTGCCGTTATTTTTAGACTTCCGACCTTTGCAATACAAATAATGCAACAAAATGACATGCAAATAACCAATCAAATTTAAAGTTTTACCGCATCGCTAAAACCAGTTTACTCAGGGACCAGTTCATTGGTCAAAATTCAAGCCACAATTTCAACGATTTTAATACGTACACTCTAATGGGAAGGTTACCTATTACGTATTGCGCTCTAAATAGAGTAATAACAATTATCTTATATAACAGGATGATGTAAAGGATATACTATTTCCATAACTGATTATGCGAGTGTTCGCTTGCTGTCTGAATTAAATGTGCAGTCGATCGTCTTCAATAAAAAAAAGTAAATCACCAATAAACAAGCCGAGGAGAATTCTAGTAATACAAGTGGTTTCTTTGCTCGACTCTACATAACTTGCATACTTTTGTGCAGATTCACTATAATGGAAATGCATTTTCAACGAGAAGATGCTAAAACGCATATAGATAAGTTGTCAAAATGAGTATAGAATACGCAGGTGCGTAATAATATTGTATGTTTTTGTGAAACAATAAGATTGATGTGACTAATTTTAATTTTTTAATAAATGGTGTCATACTAATGATACTGTAATCGTACCGTATATGCTATAAACTTTTCTATCGCTCACAGTAAATCATTTAAAAAAGAAGTACTTTTATATGTACTGCACGTCAATATACTGAATGAGAATTAACAAGTTCAATTGGAGAATTAGTGTAATTGTTTTTAATGCAATTTTTTTTTGTAATAATCAAACAGGTCGTCATTCGCTTACATACTTAAATAACCTACCTTATTTCTTCTTCATTTATTTCCTTCCTACCTTACACGTGTTACCGTGCTTTTTCCTTTTTTTCCTCTTCTGTAGTTTACATTCAACTCCTTTTTTCGCTTTTCGGGTATTCATTGATTTATCAGATCAACTCGCCTCCTCTATTTTTATTCTTCATTCTTCCGCTCAATATTCAAAACAACACAAAGGTGAGTCTTTATTTCGTACTTCAAAAATCATTTTTCATTCTTGCGTTGTGATGATAATGCACAGTGCATTTGTCATTCTTTCATCTTTTTGATTTATTTCTTCGACATCGATCGATTTACTTACAAATACCAAATTCATTCACATTATCGTCCGAAAGAAGCTAGAATATCAAAAGATTTAAATCAAGGTATACAAGCACCATATTCCATTGTTAATAAGCCGAAACGCTATATAACCACTGGATCCATTGAAATACAGTATAACCAAGTTCTTGACACGGACGCACAATACAAATTGGCGATTTAATTATTGTCATTTTCTTCAGTGAAATATTTATAAGTCTGTTCTTAAACCGACATGACAACACTTTGCACAATCTCGGCACTTCATTTATAAAAAGTTCAATTGCGACTTTTTTCATATAAAAGCCGAATATAAGAAAATAACGAAGATAAAAGAAACAAAGAAACACTATACATTATACACAATGAATACTACTGATTCAAATTTTGACTCGACTACAAACTCAACATCGACATCTTCCTCCGTCTTTCCCATCACACCCTCTTCGTCTTCTGCCTCTTCTACCAGCCTGTATGAAGTATCCTCTCGAAAATCCATCCACAAATCCTCCCTCTCACAATTTGATTCCATAGACGACGAGGACCTTACTTTTCTCGATCAATTTCGTTTCATTGACGGTCGCCGATATCACAACGAGAAAAATGTTCATTATTATTTACCTAATGACAAACAAGAGATGGAACGGCTACGCGTTCAACACTATGTCGCCTACGAGATTTGGAAAGGAAATTATTCATCGCCGATGGAATGGAGGTTGAAAAATGGGAACACAAAAGTTTTGGACATTGGGTAAATAAAGAGTGTGAATCCTAAGAAATAGTTCTTTTTGTATATGTTCAATATGTTCACTTATCATTACAATTCTTTTTCCTTTTTTATGAAGAAGTGGACCTGGTAAGCAACATTTCATAATCATTATTTTCTCTTGGTTCTCTTTTCTCCCATTTAATCCTTCCAATTTCTTCCTTAGGCACGTGGATTACGCACATGGCTTCCACTTATCAATCCTCGGCATTTGTCGGCGTCGACTTTTCTCCCATATATCCAAAGCCCTCCTTCAATTCCATCTTTCTTCGTCACAACATCCTTGAATGCATACCATTTCCGGATTCCTCTTTCGACTTCGTGTACCAAAGGTTTCTCGAGATGTCATTCGATGAGGTGGGGTGGAATAATTTATTTGCCGAGATCGTGAGGGTGATGAAACCGGACGGGTGGCTAGAAATGATGAATTTCGAATGGGAATTAATAAATCCTGGACCCAACATGAAAAAACTAGCCGATGCAGGTGAGCATAGTGCTTTTCGGCATAGAAAATCGCATCGATTTGATTTCACGTGACATTCGCCTCTTTTCCAAACAAAGTCGTAAAATTCCACGAATCAGAGAACATAAAGATTCCCACCAAAGTCGACCTAAAAAATTATTTTGAACGTACACAAAAATTCACAGACATCAAAATTGAGGAGAGGTGTATTCCGATAGGCAGATGGGCGGGTCGAATTGGACAATTCGTGCGTGTCATTTCTTTCCTATCTTGACAATAGTGTATTATATGCTCACTCAAATTTTTATTTCCTTTCGCAGGCAAAATCAAATTTCAATTATGGAATAATGGGTCTGAAACCCTTCCTGCTGCCATTCATGAATATTACCAGCGAGCAATTTCAATCGTTGCTCGATAACTCGGAAGATGAGGTAAATGATTACCAGACCTATCTGAATACCTACCGGATTTTCGGACGGAAAACGGGCGAAGAGATAACACAACAGAATATAGATATGTGGGCTCAATATCATCATTCACTATGAAGGCAGATGGCAAAACGCATAATTTACAATGTTTAATAATTAAACCCATAATAGTAATGTGTAATACAGTAAAATAATTCCCATTTTCTCTAATTGAATTAATAAAGCATTTGAATCTCAATGAAAAAAAATCGGGTAAATGTTACCGCATGACCATTAAAAAAAATACCATTGTCATTATCATCAATAAAATGATCCATGTGACTGATATCCTGAAGGACCACGGGAACAAAAGTACACGAAATTCCTTTTGCGCCACCTTTTAAAGAGGAAAAATAAAAATAAACAAATTCATTTATAAGGTAGAAATTTCAGAAGAGGGGAGTATAGGAGAGATTCATGCAACTGTTGTAAAGGGGGAGGAGGCAAGTAAAGAGGCCGGGTGGTGTATTGGTATTCCCATGGGTGAGTATCATTTCTTTCAGCACATTATGCTTTAACCCATGCCACATTCAAACATTCAAATATGGAATAAACTAGGAAAAAGAGTTTTTAGCATTATTGACTCTATTCCACTTCCTCTTAAGGTCAAAGGGGTCATATTATTAATAGTATCGATTGATGCAAATGATCCTAAGTCTCTCAAGGCTTGTCAAAGATAGATAAATGCTCTTTAGTTTACTTTGTATTATTAATTATCTTGTTTTCCGATACCTGACCTTTTTTAAATAATGAAATGGAGAGTAATCTTTTTGTAATCAAAAGAAAATACTTTTAATACTAAAAATAATTAAAGTATCTTTTAATATTTACTACAGTTAAATAGATTCTATTCTTAAATGATCAATAGTATTGAAGAATATATAAATATAATCAATAGAAGTCTTGTTTATATCTTATTTTGATATACTGTATTTCATATTTTTCAATTATTATCAAGAATAGTTTTGTGTTACTAAAAATCTGGAATAAAGTTGAGATAAGTAAAATCTTTAAAAAAAAATTATAAAAAACATAAAAACTATTTAAAAAAAAATTATTGGATTTATTGTATAATTATCAAATTCTATATTACTACAGTATTTCTATTACTGAAACCAGTTCTTTTTTTCTTTAAAACTTTCTTATTATTGGAAAAGAAATATTGTTTTATTTTTTAAAATCCAAAGTAAAACAAAAAAGATATATATATATATATATATAATAATTTTTAAGATAGTATTATTAAATTATTTAATAAAAGTATAAAGACTATAATAATATAAAAGTATTAAACTTTTTATAAATATCTTTTTTATATATACTATAATTGAAGAATTATTGAAAAAAGTTAATTGAACAAATATTATATATATAATATATTTTTAATTTATAATTATATTATTATAATATATATTTTTTTAATTTACAATTATATTAATATAATATATTTTATCAAAATATTAAAAAATATCTACTATAATATATAAACTTTTATATGATAATAATTCTTCTTTGTATATTATTAGTTAAAAAACTATATTACTTAAATTAGTTGGTTCAGACTAAAAAAATAAAGTTTTAACTAGATACTTTAAATAAAATTTAGGAAATTATATTTTATTTTATTAATAGATTGATATTAAAACTTCTATTTATCAAAATTACTCTTATAGTTTATTATTATAAATTATTTCAATTGTTAAATTAATATATTGAAAATAAAAAGAAAAAAAAAATAATTTTTAAAAGATTTTTATTTAAGTAAATAATTTTTTTCAAAAAAATATTTCCTTAATTATTTTCAAGCTTTAAATTGTTTAAAAAACTTGGCTTTTCTTAAATAAAAAAATTTCAGAATAAATATTTAAGAAACTTATTTTTT